GTGTGAATCAGTGACGGTGTGAATCAGTGATGGTGTGACTGAATCGGTGTGAATCAGTGACGGTGTGAATCAGTGATGGTGTGACTGAATCGGTGTGAATCAGTGATGGTGTGAATCAGTGATGGTGTGACTGAATCAGTTATAGGGTGATGCTGAATCTGTGTGAATCAGTGACGGTGTGACTGAATCGGTGTGAATCAGTGACGGTGTGAATCAGTGATGGTGTGACTGAATCGGTGTGAATCAGTGACGGTGTGACTGAATCGTGTGAATCAGTGACGGTGTGAATCAGTGATGGTGTGACTGAATCAGTGTGAATCAGTGATAGGGTGATGCTGAATCTGTGTGAATCAGTGATGGTGTGACTGAATCGGTGTGAATCAGTGACGGTGTGACTGAATCAGTGACGGTGTGAATCAGTGATAGTGTGATGCTGAATCTGTGTGAATCAGTGACGGTGTGAATCAGTGATATTGTGACTGAATCGGTGTGAATCAGTGATGGTGTGACGTGCATCTGTTTCAGGTGAACGGCAGCGAGGCATTGGTGGCTAAAGCCGCTCTGTTCAGTAGACACCCAGAGATGATCGACTGGCCCACCGACCACAACTGGTTCTTCGCCAAGATGAACATCACACAGGTCTGGGTGCTCGATTACTTCGGCGGAGTGAAAACCGTCACGCCAGAGGAGTATTACCGAGCCACTCCGTACCGGAAACACAGAGGTGAGTCCGGCAGACGTGATCGAGCTTCACTTAGATGATTCACTTATATGACTCTGGTCCATTCAGTCAGTGTGAATCAGCACTAAACTCACTTTATATATTTGCTCTGAAATCATTTAACTCCTATGCTGTACTGAAAATCCTTTAGCTCATTTGGTGTTCCTGGCCTTATAAATCTCTCATATTATCACAAAATATTGGATTCATTTTTTTATCAGTTTGTTTTCTTTCAATCAGCACAGGTTTTGTGTTTGTTTTTGGAGCTGATTAATTGAAGACTGCATTGTGTTTTCAGTGAAAAAAGCATTATTTATGAATTAATTTTGGTAATATTCCGTTTTTTAATGAAAAAAAAGCATTATTTCTGGAGAATTTTGGTAATATTCAGTTTTTGAATTAAAATATAATTTTGGTAATATTCAGTTTTTGAGTAAAAAAACTCAAAAAACGTGAATCTGTTTCAGGTGAACGGCAGCGAGGCATCGGTGGCTAAAGCCGCTCTGTTCAGTAGACACCCAGAGATGATCGACTGGCCCACCGACCACAACTGGTTCTTCGCCAAGATGAACATCACACAGGTCTGGGTGCTCGATTACTTCGGCGGAGTGAAAACCGTCACGCCAGAGGAGTATTACCGAGCCACTCCGTACCGGAAACACAGCGGTGAGTCAGGCAGACGTGATCGAGCTTCACTTAGATGATTCACTTATATGACTCCGGTCCATTCAGTCAGTGTGAATCAGCACTAAACTCACTTTATATATTTGCTCTGAAATCATTTAACTCCTATGCTGTACTGAAAATCCTTTAGCTCATTTGGTGTTCCTGGCCTTATAAATCTCTCATATTTTCACAAAATATTGGATTCATTTTTTTATCAGTTTGTTTTCTTTCCATCAGCACAGGTTTTGTGTTTGTTTTTGGAGCTGATTAATTGAAGACTGCATTGTGCATTGTGTTTTCAGTGAAAAAAGCATTATTTATGAATTAATTTTGGTAATATTCAGTTTTTTAATGAAAAAAAAGCATTATTTCTGGAGAATTTTGGTAATATTCAGTTTTTGAATTAAAATATAATTTTGGTAATATTCAGTTTTTGAGTAAAAAAACTCAAAAACTTTTTTTTTTTTTTGGATAAATCATTTGAAGTAGAGTGGGCAGACTGGACATTTGTGAGTGAACAATTCACTGAATCAGAGTTTTGAATTGATTCACTGAAACAGTCCAGAAACACATCCAGTTATTGTCTTCTCAGTCTTACATCACCAGCAATATAGTTCTGAATATACTGTTCATATGAGCTCTGAGCGCAGCTGTTATCAGTCAGAAGCAGACGCTGTGCTGAACGTCACGTGACCTCAGTGTGTGTGTGTGTGTGTGTGTGTTTCTACAGGAAGTGACACGCTGTAATCCTGGTGAACCGAATCAGAATCACTGATGGAGTGTTTCAGAAGAGACTCGGATTTATGAATGTTTCTCAGGTTGATTGTGTGTGTGTGTGTGTGTTAATCACATGTTGTTAATTTCTCCAGAACATTAATGCAGCATGATGTGTCAATTCCGAATGATTTTTGCAGTTTGCACAAGCGCTTTCATTCGACCCTTCACAGATTCACACCAAATGCAGATTGAAATCTTAAGAGAGCCTCGTGAGATTCACGCGTGTCACTCATAGATGTTCAATTTGGCGTCCTTGCCCCTAACCTTTGACCTCTGACCCCTGTAGCAGGAAATGTGAATGTGAAGTTTTTGGGTTGTGGCTAGAAGGGATACAGCTCCGACCGGAAACGATCAATGAAATTTCATTTTCTACATATTAGATTGTGTTTTATTAATGTCTACACCTCCCCCAACCCTAAACCTACCCCTTACAATAATGAAAATATTGTGTGGCAGAAATGACGCTGGTTTGATGTGAAGTTTTTGCTCATTTTGCTTGTATTTTACAGTTGATCTGTAATTTTACGCTCATCTGACGTCTTCCAGGCCTATAAAATCACACAGACGCCAGTCAAAGGATATTTACTCAGAGTGATTGTTTTTCTAACGCTCGTGTGTATTTTTAATAAGGATTTTTTTTGTCATGATGCAGTGAAATAAAGAGCTGATCTTTGATTGGATTGTTCGTCTCTCGTTCTGTTAATCTCTCAAATCTTTCTCTGAGAATGAGTAGGCGCGCGCGCGTGTGTGTGTGTGTGAGTGAGTCTCTCTCTGTGTGTGTGTGTGTGTCGTTAGTGTTTCAGTAGGTGGGTCGTGTGTATGTACAGGTGGAGCTCGAGGAGCCACTTCCTGTCACAGAGCAGATCTCGATCTTCACTGAAGTCTCACACACACACACTCGTGCGTCTCGAACCTGCGGCCCATCAGACGACAGACAGACAAACAGACGGAGGGATAAAGATGGCATGGAGAGGAGCGTCAGCCGTGGTCATCCTGCTGTCCATCACACCTGTGTCAGGTACGAGAGTGTGTGTGTGTGTGAGTGTGTGTGTGTGAGTGTGTGTGTGTGTGAGTTGAGACGCGTCCGCTGCAGGAGTCGAGGGAAGGCCGCCATCTTTGTCGAGGTTTCTGTGGAGTCGAGTGTTTCCTCCAGTCTAAAGATTGAGAATCAGCTCAGAAGCACTTTTCAGATGAATCCGGCGCTTGACCTTTGGTCTCCTGAGGTCAAAGGCCGTCCACTGCTGGCCTGAGCTGGGCTCGCTGGCGTCGTGCTTCGCTCGCAGGCCGCGGCCGTCTGCCTTTCTTTCGCTCCAGATCGAATATGTCAAGCGATTCAGAATTAATTTTTACTCAATTATTTTTTTTAATGTGATTATGTGGAATCAAAGAACAAACAGAGTCATAAAGATCAAATTACAGTCAGCATCGATATGAAAATGACGAACTGTCACGTTTAGTTTTTTAATAATAATACTAATAATAAAGTTACACTGATGTTTTTAAAAAGTCTCACCTAAATGTATTTCAATATTTTAGTCTTGTATTAATCTGAAATGTCTGATATAGTGTTGTGTTATTGTTTGGCTCGTGTTATTCGCTTTGTTCTCTCTCGTTGCTGCGTAAAAAAAAAGTTGAATTATTCCCCACATTTTATGTTTATCTGATGTTAATTAAACAATACATCAACAGTGCAAAACTTTTTAAAATACATATTTTTGTACATTTTGCATTCAGTTCATTTTAATTCTTAATTTTTACAGAACAATGAAATATTTCTCCAGGAAACACTTAATCTAGAACATGAGTGAAAATATCTCCACAATTTTTTTATTTAATTGTATACATTTTATAAGCACTAATACTATTACAAAGATTCCGAAGGCTTGATTGAATCTAAAGCTGCTGTGAAACACGGATTGTGAAAAGCGGCGTACAAATAAAAATGATTTGGCAAAAGCATAAACTGTGCAACAATGTCGATGAACTTCAATTAAATGAAAGGTTTCACCATAAACAGATTTAGCTGATTTGAGTGTTTATCGTTTATTAGAAATGCTGAAACATCAGAACAAACTTCTGCTTCTCCAAGCATCATGAGTTTTGATTTGAGAGCTGAATGTAAAATAATCCCTAAAAACCTGCTTCTGTTTTATAAAGCAGCTTTGCAGTCATTTTCAAATGCAGTTGAACAAACTTTTATTTAGTGTTAAATGTTAAAGTGTCTTTGGAGCTGGAGGTTTGATGGGGTTTCATCAGGTCGAGCAGAAGCGGAGTGTTGTGTGACTGTGAGCTGATTCTGAGCTGATTCTGAGCTGATTCAGTGCTGATTCGGTGTTGATTCTGAGCTGATTCAGTGCTGATTCTGAGCTGATTCGGTGTTGATGCACTCCGTGTGAATCTCCAGTAAAGCAGTGAGTCTGCTGATGTCAGATCAGTGATCGAGTTGAGTTGAGGGTTTGTGGATTCACTCTTTCCACCGACACACTCCAGTCGTGTCTTCATATTATTGTGAGATGAACTTCCTCAGCCATTCATGATTTTCCACAAACACAGATGAAAGATGAAACACACACACACAGGTTTGTTTTTGTGAAAAGTGGGGACTCTCCATAGGCGTAATGGTTTTTATACTGTATAGACCGTATATTCTATTGCCCTACACCAACCCTACCCCTAAACCTACCCCTCACAGGAGACTTTCTGCTATTTCAGATTTTCAATACACTCCATTCTGTGTGATTTATAAGCGTTTTGAATTACGGGGACACTGAAAATGTCCTCATAAATCACCTTCTCGTTGTAATACCTGTCATACCTTTGTCATTATACACATTTGTGTCCTCATAAACCACATAAACATGCACACACACACACTGTTTAGAGTTTTATTCTACAAATAGCTGGTGAATTTAATTCTACAGTCTATCTGATGCGTTTAGAACACAAGTTGATGCATGTTTTAGATTTTTATTTTTAGTATTGGGAAATCATTTTAAATTCAAACATACGTATAAGTATATATGCATATATATATATGAAGAGTTAATTTGCAAAAACAGATAACTCCGTTTTTAACCATTTTCAGAATTGTTTCAAAAATCTTGTTTTTTTTCATTCTGCGTTCCAATTAATCTCAATCAAACTTACAAAATAACTTAAAAATACAGCTAACTAACACAATAAAAAACATGATTTTTGAAAAGTGGAGTTATCTGTTTTTGCAAATAACCTTTCATATATATATATATATATATATTATTGCCATAACATTGGATTTAGATATTACAGACCATCAGATCTCTTAAATGGTAATTTCTGCGTCAATGTTCAGCTCAAGAATCTTCATTTCTGCTTCATTGCACTTAATTCTGTGTGTGTTCAGAGACGTCTCCGTTTGTGCTGAAGGCTGTTTTTGATCCGGTGCTGCTGATGTTGTGGAAAGTCTTCATTCAGTGGGCGAAAGCAGCTTGGTTTACAGTCAGAGTCCCTCTCAGTAGATCAGTGAATCAAATGATGAGACACGGTGGAAAATACAGGCTGAAAACATCATTTCAAGGAACACGCTGTAGAGTTCACATCAATCACATGAGATTCTGTGAACTCAAATATGTCACACCTGACAGATGCTGATTAGCGTATAACCAGCGCTCCACATTCACACGAACACAGCATAGCAGGCTTTTATTCACATTACAGCGAACACTACTCTTCAGACCTTTAGAGAGTCTGAAAGATTCATGCTTTTGAGTAAAAACAGCAATAACGTGAAATATTATTAGAATTTCAAACAGCTGTTTTCTATGTGTGTATATGTGTTAAACTCTAATTTATTTCTGTATTTTCAGCATCATTCCTCCAGTCTTCAGTGTCACATGATCTTCAGAAATCAGTATAATATGCTGATCTGCTGCTCGACAAACATTTCGTTTAACAGTCGTGCTGCACAATATTTTTGTGGAAACTGATACATTTAATTTTTCAGGATTCACAGATGAATGTTGAGTTCAAAAGAACAGCATTTATTTGAAATGGAAATCTTTTGTTACATTATAAATGTCCTAACTGTTACTTTTGATCACTTTAATGTGTCACTGATGAATAAAAGCATGAATTTCTTTCAAAAGAAATCTAACTGACGCCAAAGTTTTAAACATTGGTGTGTATATGTATATATTTTATTAAGAAATCAATTTTTAAGACATCTCTATAAATAAACAATCACATTCTGTTTTCTAGTTTTTACACAAATTGTAAGTGTTCGAGTCGCTGGTTTGATTTTATTAATAAAAATGATCAAGCTATATTTTTCTTTGAGTTGATCAAACCATCAGCACACCGAACGCTCGCTTCATTCACACGAAATCTGTTACTCATATTTATTTTAATCATATTTAATGTGTGCATTTACTTTTTATTGCAGCAATGTAGCAAAAGAACAGACGTTTGTTTATTTGACCCGTTTAGACACTCGTTTCAGATGAACGTAAAACAGAAGAACACGTATATAATATTTAGTTCGTCTAGCGTTAAATCGTGTGTTTCTGCTGCATCTGTACTCAAGTCAAAGTATGGATTCTGTACGAGGTTAAAAGTCCAAGTATCTGAGCAAAAGTAAAAAAGAGCAACTTTAAATGATACTGAAGTATTATAAAGCAGAAGTAACCAGAATGAAACCCGTTGAATCAAACCTCAGTGAGCATCTGCCATGAATTGATTAAGCTCATTTAAACAAAGCGGTTTATTACAGTTAATTAAAAATGTGATGTTGTGATCATTTAACGGTCCGTTCTGGCTGAAGAGAAGAATACTGTTAAATGTAATACTGGATATTACTGTTTTTTGGAAGTGGAAATTAACAGTGAAACATCCCAGAATCCTCTGTGTAGCACATCTTCTCAGTTTCTTCTCATCAGTTGTGTACATTAGGGCTTTATTATCTTCCGTCTGATGTTGTTAAATGTGTGTATTTTGGTGTCATGCGTGTCGTTTAGTGTTTATCAGAATATCAGTATTTTCCTCCTCGGCTTCTGCAAGAGCTGTCAGTGTATTCCAGAGCTACAAAACAGATATTAGTGCTTTAATAGGTTGCTTTATTAACAAGTTAACGAAATGCATTTTTACTGTAAATTTGAGCTAAAGCTGTAAAACTACATTTTGCACCCACAGTTCTGTTTTTTTACTGTATATTTAGTTTTATGTAGTATGTTAAATAAGGGATAATATTGTGACGAGCGATGTAGTGGACAGATGCGTCTCGATGTTGCATCAAAAGCCGTACGACTCGAAAGGTGTGCTATTTTTACAATCCTGTTTCCTCGTGGATTCTTTGAATTGTATTTTTAGCGTACTGTCGCTGTTGCTTACAGTTGCACTCTTTTGATCAAATAACCCAAAGAACTATTAGATCGTAATCATCACGCCTCGAAAAACTGCCAAAGCCAAACAAGCACTTCAAAATAAAACTGTGCACTGCAAAAAAAACGTTTTCTTGCTTAGCATTTATATCTTGTTTTCTAGTGTAAATCTCTAAAAATTCTTGCGTCAGGGTAAAACGACTTGTCTTGTTTTCTAAAAAATATTATCCAAATTGTATTCGTTTTTGCTTAAAACAAGTAAAAAGACCTGCCTGTGGGGTAAGAAAGATACTCTTAACTCAAAGGCTTCTGACCCCACCGGCAGATATTATACTTGTTTTAAGCAAAAACTAAATTGGGATAATTTTCCCAGAAAACAAGACTTAACATCAGAAGTCATTTTACGTAAATGCATCTTAATTCCAGAATTTGTAGATATTTACACAAGAAAACAAGACATGAATACTAAGGAAGAAAATCACTTTTTGCAGCGGAAGTGTTCGGCTGAAATGCTCTGAAGTAAAGGACGGCGAGTGTTTTTCTGATGATCAGATGACCAGGTGTTTGACCCGTTCTCGTGAACCGCAGCACTGAGCGTCTGCGGTGAGGAAGAGGAAGAGGAAGCTCAGATCAGCCCACAGCTCTTACACACCTTTCATCTGATCCAGAATCATACAGCTTCCA